AGCGTGAGAGCCAGCCCCATCCCAGGACCTGCGGCCCCGGCTCGCCCCAGCAAGAGGCAGCAGTCGGTGACGAGGAGCAGAGGGACGGCCTGGGCCAGGGCGCTGAGGAGGCCGCAGGGCTGCTGCACACAGGACGAGGCTCAGGGGTATGACCACTAGGACGGCTCGGTGGGCGCTGCCGGGTCAGGGGCCGGGCCTGCCTTGGAGCCCTGTCTTCCTGAAGATCACCTTCACAGGACACCGGGCCGCCTTGGCCTGAGCTAGACCACCTGCCTCCCTCTGATGCCTGTCCCCATGGTAACCACCCGGCCCTCCCAGTGGCTACTTGTCTGGCGAAGGCTTCCTGACGCCCAGGGCGAGGGGCTCCCTCAGCACCGTCCCAACCTCCCAGGCTGCTCTGGGGCAGCAGACATGTGCCCCCAGGTGGCCCATTGGAGACACAAAGGCGAACCCAAAGGGCACGAGGTAGGCTGGGCACTGGGTCCCTCGCTCGGGAGCCACCAGAGAGCAGGGGCCGCGGCTGGTCGGGGGCGGTTTTCATATACATGTGGGCCCGGTGGGTCAGCTGGTGAGTTCCGGGGACTGAAGGAGGGGTGACTGCGCACCAGGACTCACACAGGAGATCCCACTCCGAGGCGGAGACGTCCAGGTTCTTGATGGCAAAGGAGCCAACCAGGGGATGCGCTGTTCCGCCCTACGAAGCAGGAGGGACCAGGAGGGACACAGCCTGGTGGGCGGGCCTGCCGGGGCCAGAGGGCGGACCGCCCTGGGGCCGCCAGATCCTCTCCTGCTCCCAGAGCTGGGGCTGTGCTGGCCTTGGGCCCTCGGGACCTTTGATTCATGTGACGTACATGGCACGCTCAGGCCGGGCTTAGAGCACTCACAGGCTGGAACCCGAAAAGGGTGCGTGTGATGTGGGCTCTCTGACTCCCCCCATATGTGCACGCCCACCCACATATGCACACATGTGGCCTGCCTGCATGCACACACATGCACAAATCTGTTTGGTGGCCGAAGAGCAGGGTCCTTCCTCCCCGGGCGCACGGAGGAAACCACCGTCTCTCACACTCATTCACAGCCACAGCCTCGAGGGAGGGGAGGGGAAGGGGGAGGGCAGGGCCCAGCTGTCTGTCCTCAAGGGGCTGGGGCTGAAGGAGCAGGTGGGGGTGGGAGGCCCTGATGTGGGGAGGCTCACTCTCTTCTCACAGACACACACACACCTCACTCACTCACCTCTGCACACTCATATTCAGTCACCTGCACACACACACATGGACACGTGCTCACAGTCTTAGTCACATACACACACTCACACCCAGGCTGGCCCCATGTGTGAGGAGGGAGCTGAGGGCGGCAGTGGGCAGCCCTCCCGCCTGCTGCCTGGGACGTAGCCACTGCAGTGTGGGACCCAGGTGGCCGTCCTACTGCCTGCCGTGTGTCAGGCCCTTGGGCAGGGCCTTGCCCCCAGCCCTGGCTGTGCCTGATGGGGGTGCAGGGGTGGGAGGCTCGCCTTACCCCCCTGAGAGAAGCCACTCGTGAGCCTCAGCTCCCCACATCTGCCTCCCACCTCACCCCCAGCCCCTTCTAGCAGACAGACAGCGGCCTGAGCCCTGTGCGGTTGTGGGCTGCTGCCACCTCCAGAAGTACCAGTAGTCGCTGCCCACCACGGCCGCCAGCAGTGCACCCAGGGAGGCGGCCAGCCGGGTCATGGAGGGGTGCCAGCGATTAACTCCCGACTCCCCTCCCCTCCTGGCTCCCTCTACTCCCTGACACCCCCTCTCCACCCCACCCCCCAAAATCGCTGCTGCTGGCTCTGCAGCGGCCAGGGCCTGGAGAGGGGGCGCTTGCCAGGTGGCCCACTGGGGACTCAGGTTCTGGGCAACAGGGGCATGAACAGTGAAAGGAGGGTCATTCCACAGCGGCGAGGGTGTGACGTGGGTCCCTCTCAAGGGAAGGGGACAGCGGACCAGGCCAGGAGCTGCTCCGTGGGTTTCCTCCCGCCCGGCCGTGGGTGGAGCCGCGCAGGACAGGGACAGCCCACTGCACGAGAGGGTCGGGCACTGAGCGGCCCTGGAACCTTTTCCTTGTCTGTTTTGGGGAAATGTTGTAACCTTGTCATGTGCCCATCGGAGGGGGAGGACCTTCAACCGACCTCAAAGCAAGAGGCTGGCTTTACCCAAGACCCAGTCCTCGCGTCCCTCCCAGCCACTCGGGGCTCCCAGCCATTCGGGGCTCCACTACAGTCCCTCTGCAGCCTTGAAGGTCCTGATGACCAGGTGGGGAGACCCTGAATACACACAGAACAGCCAGGCCTGGCAGGTGAGGGGTCACAGGACTCGCGAAGGGAGAGAATAGAGCACTGGGACACGGAAATGCACGCCATAGCTTAGGCTTAATGATGCAGAAGCACGTGAACTGGCATCCTTCATCCTCTACTCGTCCAGCAGCAAAGACCTATGATGCGCTCGTATAAATCTCAGGCTGTGAGCCGGAAGCCCACGTGCCCACACCTGCCCCCCCCCCACCCCCCTGCACCTCCAGGATCCATAAGCCGTGGCAACCAAAGAAAGAGAATCAGCGCGGCCCTCAGCAACGCCAGGCGCAGACAGGACGCCGTGGCCCCGCTTTCACGAGAAAACACGGCGGCTTAAGTTCTCACTCCACGCGGTCAGTGCCTCCTTCCCTAGGTCACGGCCACGGCCACAGGCAGCGGCGACACTGGGGACCAAGCCTTGGCGACCACGCCCTCCGAGGGTCCAGGAGTGCGCGGGGCCTCACTCCATGGCTGCCAGCTGCTCGATGGCACTGCGGACTTTCTTTGCGATTTCTTCAAACTCTTTCTGCTTATGGTTGGCTTCCTTTGCCTGGAAATAAAGAACAGACTCAGGAGAGCGAAACAGCAGCTTCCAAATCGCACCGTGTGGCTGAGGTCAGCGAGAATGGGGTCCGAGCAGCACCGGCCGGGCTGCCCCGCGAGCCTGGCAGAGCCTCCTCTCGTCCGGGCGAAGGGCCCTGTCAAACACTAGCTTCCTCCGAACACAGCACCTCCACCTCCTGCCCCCCAGGGCTAGCTTCCAGCCTTCCGCCGGCTCAGCGCTCCCTCCGGAGAGCAAGTGACAACCACATTAGCACCCAGGGACCGCCTGCCCCACCTTAATTTTAAAAAATATATATTTATTGATTTCAGAGAGGAAGGGAGAGAGAGAGAAGCATCAATGATGAAAGAGAATCATTGACTGGCTGCCTCCTGCACGCCCCCTATGGGGATCGAGCCCGCAACCCAGGCATGTGCCCTGACCAGAACTGAACCCGGGACCCTTCAGTCCGCAGGCCCACGCTCTATCCACTGAGCCAAACCAGCTAGGGCTGCCCTACCTTAATTTTTATTCTCCTTGATTTGTCACATTAAAGAACAAACTCTAACATTTAAAAATTACTTTCAATATGTACTTTTTTAAAAAATGAACTTTAGAGAGGGAGAGAGAAAAAAAGAGAGAGGGAGAGAAAGAGAGAAACACATCAATTGGCTGCCTCCCGAACTCACCCCGACCTGGATCAAACCCGAAGCCTGAGCATGTGCCCTGACCAGGAAGTGAACTGCTCATCTTCTGCTGTACAGGACGATGCCCCAACTAACTGGGCCGCACCAGCCATGTGGCTTACTTACTTTAAAATTAAAAGAAAATTTAATTTTTCCCTGGCCTGTGTGGCTCAGTTGGTTGGAGTGCCATCTGTCCTTACTCCAAAAGGTCACAGGTTTGATTCCCAGTGGGGACATACCCTGGTTTCAGGTTCAAACCCCGATCTGGGTGCGTTCAAGAGGCAACCCATCGATGTTTCTCTCTCCCTCCCTTCTTTTCTCTCTCTGAAATCAGTGAAAACATATCCTTGAGTAAAGATTAAAAATAGTAATAATAAACATTTTTTTAAAAGAAAATTTGATTTTAAAAATAATACATTGACAAGAACAAGAGAAAACAGCCAATGGTGAGCCTGGTAAGGGACCCGCGCCTGAGCCCTTGCAGACCCTGTGCACACAGGTTCCATGTTGGCACCACCACACGGAGGCCAGCACCGTCACACACACGCTTCCTACCAAAGGGGTTGAAGAAACAACAAGAACCTCCTGTGAGAAACAGTGAAACTGGCCGAGCAACCTGCGCGGCAGCTCCCGCCTGCCCCACCCCCAGGTTTAGGATCCCGAGTCCGCAGAGAAGCAGTTGCTCCGGGTGCTCCCGTCTGAAGTTCACCCTCCCCGGGCTTGTTCACACCGGCTCTGCCTCACTTCACTTTCCCCAAAAGGCGGGGGCAGCGATGCACACGCAGGGCTGTCGTGGGCTGGCCTCGTTCACACCGGCTCTGCCTCACTTCACTTCCCCAAAAGGCGGGGGCAGCGATGCACACGCAGGGCTGTCGTGCGCCCCGCCGCCCGCATCGGTGCAGCACAGCACAGCACCCGCCCCGCCGCCCGCATCGGTACAGCACAGCACAGCACAGCACCCGCCCCGCCGCCCGCATCGGTGCAGCACAGCACAGCGTGTCCTCTGGTTCTCAATAAAACGCCTGATAAACGACTGCCCTGCACTGTGTGGTGCACTCACGTAACAGACTTCACACCTGGGCTGAAATAGCCTACAAAACAGATGAGCCTTAGGGAGCCAGCCACGTGCGGGCGAGCACGTACAGTGCGATTGAAACTTCGTGGCCCATGCGCAGAAGTCAGTATTTTGTGGAGGAGCCGGTATTTTGTGGAAGAGCCACTCAAGGGGCCAAAGAACTGCATGTGGCTCGCGAGCCGCAGTTTGCCAACCACGGACCTAGGACATCACAGACTTGAGGGCCGCGGCTTAGCTTAAACTTTCCATCCCTCTTTAAAATATGTAAATTTTAAATGACCTGGAAGGAAATACACTGGGTGGCAGTGGCCACCCCTTATAGAAGCTCATACCGTTTATGACTAAACAGAGACATAAAACCTCATGCATCACTGGAAGTGTTCTGTATGACGGGAGAACAAACACCCGATGCCCAATAAATGCCGCCCACCCGCCGGTGCGACAGCGCCCCCTGGTGGCTTCCTGCTGGGCAGTGCTGTCACCTCCACAACAGGCCCCAGCACTGCCTTTCTGGGCGTCTATAGTCGCCTTCAGCCTCACTGGCCACCCCAGTCTTCCTCCCGTCTGCTCAGGCACAGCTTTCTCTCGCCTGTCCCCTAACGACTGTCCCCTAACGATAAACAAGGCTGGTCTGCCACCTTCAGCCTGCGGCCACCCACCAGCCCATGCCTGTTTCTGTGCAGCCACCGGGCTAATGGGCTTTACATCTGTAAACGGTTGTGGAAACAAGAACAACAGAGACGCCATCTCACAGACGTGCTGCCGAGAGGGTGTGGGGCTGGAGGGCTCGGCGTTGCGGACGCCCAGCAGGCCGGCTCGGGGCTCTCACCCATCACACGTACCACTTTGTTCTTGGCTCTTTCTTTGTCCAGTTTCAGGAATTCACCGAGGGTCAGCTCCTCGAACTGCTTCTTGACAGAAAGGAAGGCACAGCCCGACGAATGCTTCTTGTGTTCCTCCCTAGAGGAGCGACACAGGAGCAGGTCAACGAGGTGGTGGAGGCAGAGGCCGCAGCTCGTCGCCACTGCCTCCCACCCCTCCGTCTGCAGGCGCCCTGCTCGCTGGAGAGCAGAGTGACGTCCCAAGTAGACGGAACCAGGACTAGGTCCCCGGCCACTTCCCCACGCGGCTCAGCGCAGCGCCTTCCCTCTGTGGACGCCCCCTCCCGCCCCTCCCCTCCCCGATGGAGTTTACCGGGAGCCCTGAGCAGTTAGTAGGAAGTGCTAGGTGAGTCCAGATCCCTCTAAAACCCTCAGGGTATTTTTTGTTTTAATCCTCACCCGAGACTGCAACGGAGGGATGTGCCTCTGACCGGAATGGAACCTGTGGCCCTTCAGTCTGGGCTGGTGCCCTCTATCCACTGAGCCAAACGGGCTCAGGGCCTCTAGGGATGCTGTGAAGCAGCCTCATACCCTGGGAATTGTCACATAATCTACCGGTTTGGAATAAGGCCCGCGGGCCAGGCTTCTCCAGGGAAGCGCTGGGCCGCGCACCATCACGTCTCCGTGGGGAAGCAGGCGGGCGGAGCGCCCAGCACCGAGCCAGAACCCTGCGAACGAACACACAGCCACACGAAGTCCAGAGGGTCAGCCCACAGTGACAAGGACATGAAAACATCACCGGGCATAGGAGACCCACTCCCCAGAACACACTGGCCTTTCCCAGGGGCTCCTGGTGTGCCCGCCATGCCATCCCGCCAACACCGGGTCGCGGCCGCAAACACATTCCCTGGCCAACAAGAGAAACAACTGGGCTCGTTCTCTACGGGAAAGGAAAGTGGTGGAAACAGGCGACTCCGCGGGGAAGGTGAGCGCGGGCACTGCCCGGCAGAAGCCATTGCGGGCCCTGAATGCAGACACAGGTTCCGTCCCCTACAGAGCGAACCCCACAGGGCCCGGAGCCCCTCTGGAAGGCTGGTTGGTGGTGTGTGAACTGTAGCGCAATAAGGCTTGGGGTTTAAAACTGAAACAAGCCCTAGCTGGTTTGGCTCAGTGGACACAGCGTGGGCCTGTGGACCGAAGGGCTCTGGGTTCGATTCCAGTCAAGGGCACATGCCTGGGTTGCAGGCTTGATTCTCTCTCATCATTGATGCTTCTCTCTCTCTCTCTCTCCCTCTCCCTTCCTCTCTAAAATCAATAAAAACATATTTAAAAAAAACAAGCTCTTGCCCTAACCGGTTTGGCTCAGTGGCTAGAGCGTCAGCCTGCGGACTGAAGAGTCCCAGGTTCGATTCCCGTCAAGGGCATGGACCTTGGTTGCGGGCACATCCCCAGCGGGGGGTGTGCAGGAGGCAGCTGATCGATGTTTCTAACTCTCTATCCCTCTCCCTTCCTCTCTGTAAAAAAGTCAATAAGATATATTAAAAAAAACAAACTCTGAAACCAGAAAGGCACCTGGGCACCCCTGGTCACAACAGGAGCTGCTCCCGGGTTCTGTCCAACCTCCAAGGCCTCGGGGACCGACAGGAAGGAGCCTCTTCAACACGCACCGCGGGGCACTGGCCCCATCAGGATGATGAGGCGGAAGCGGCAGGAGGCGCCGAGGTTCGTCCACTTGCAACAGCTGCTTGGGCGCAAAATGAGGCCGGAACCGCTCCCGCCCCACGCGTCCTTCCTGGACATGCGGTTTCCCAGCTCCGCGCAGAGCGGGGGGGCGGGCAGGCGGCACTTACAGGGGGTCGTCGTCCGGCTCCCAGCCTTCCAGCTCCTTGAAGCAGAAGAAGCACTGGGCCAGGTCGGGCTCGTTCTCGGTGGGGCAGTGGATGAAGCCGGCCGCGGCCATCTGCAAGGGAAGGCAGGCTCGGACCCGCGGCGCGTGCCCTCCGGGAGCCCAGAGGGGGGCCGAGCCCGCGGGAGGGACACCCCGGGAGCCCAGAGGGGGGCCGAGCCCACGGGGGGGACACCCCGGGAGCCCAGAGGGGGGCCGAGCCCACGGGGGGGACACCCCGGGAGCCCAGAGGGGGCCGAGCCCACGGGGGGGACACCCCGGGAGCCCAGAGGGGGCCGAGCCCGAGGGGGGGACACCCCGGGAGACCAGAGAGGGACCGAGCCCGCGGGAGGGGACGGCAGGCCTGAGCCCGGTGGGACGGGCCTGGGACCCCGGGCCCCCCCGCCGTCTCACCCGTTCCGGGGTGCAGGCGCAGCCCTCCAGGAAGGGCCAGTTCTTGAACGTAGAGACGCGGTGGTCCTTGAGGTAGAGCTGCCAGGCCGCGGGCAACGACGGGGCACCCATCCCACCGCCACCCCGAGCGGTGCCGCGATTCAAATCGAGCGGTTGGCGGCCGCCGCGAGGCCTGTCGGGAACGCCCAGCTCGGAAGCGGCCCTCGCGGCCTTCTGGGAGTGCGCGGGGCATGCTGGGAGTTGTAGTCCTCCCTTTGCATGGCTGGGCTTCTGCGCCCCGTGCACCTAGCGACCTCGGTCCCGCGTTTGCCGCTTGCAGGCTTAGCAGAGTGGTGCGGGCGGAGCTAAAGGTGGGCTGCAGTCCTCGTAATGGATTTAAGGAGGCGCCGGTCGAGTACATCTGTATTAAGCCCTTTCAGCCTGCAAACTCTGGTTGTCCTTGTGGGCGCCCCACTCCTGGGGCCCCCTAGTGCCAGCTCCCCCTGCCCCCGAGCCAGCTGAGTTGGAATGTGTGCTGAGGCCGCGCATCCTCCAGGGAGAAGATGTCCCAGGTGAAATCCAGGGCTCCGCCTCCGCCCTGGCTCAGGGAGCTATGAACTCGGCTCTTACCACTGCGGCTTCTTGGAAGTCTCGAAATGGACCCTTGGAACTGGGTTCCTGCCTTCCCATCAGAATCCCTCGGGAACCAGATATCCCTCCAGGTCCATAGCGGTCCATGCTGCAGCACAGATACTTATTCAGTCAGGCCCCTATGGATGGGCCCTCAGGTTGCTAATTCTGTACCATTATAAATAACCAGAGGCTCGGTGCAGGAAATTGTGCAGGGTAGGGTCCCTAGGCCTGGCTGGTGATCAGGGCTGATTGGGGCCTTCCTTCCCCAGCTGCCAGCTGCAGGCGGGGGGCCTTCCTTCATTCTGCGCTGCCCCCTGGTGGTCAGTGCACGTCATAGTGAGCAAACTCCCAAGGGGACAATTTGCATACTAGCCTTTTATTATATGATACTACAGTAAACACTTTGTATGAATATCCTTGTGTTCTGGTACTTTTGCTTCCAGGGGCTAGATTTCTAAAAGTGGATTTTTAGGTCAAATGTGAATTTAAAATTTTAATGCACTCTAACCATTGAGCGCCACCGGCCAGAGCTAATCAATCATTCTTGAACTGCAAGCTATTCAGAGTGGGGCAGAGAGGTGGTGGGGTGCAGTGGGTGACAGCTGGCTCCCAGGGGACTGCACACTCCCCTGGGGTGGGGGTGGGGGGTGGGAGGGCAGCAGAAGCTTGTCCACCTCTGGGTGTCACTGTCCTGTCAGGGTCAAGGGGTTATCCCGAGGCTAACATTCCAGGGTTTTCAGGGCAGACCCAGATGTCCGGTGGCGCCCAGGACAGAGTAGACAAAGGAGTGAAGCAAAAGGCAGACGCGGTGTGGGAATCGCTTGCAAAAGGGGCAGCAAACTTTTCCGAAAAGAGCCAGATGGTAATTAGTTTAGCTCTGCGGGCCGTCCAGTCTCTGACCCCACCCAACTCTGCCCTTGTAGCTCAAACACCACCACGGACAATTCGTAGATGAATGAACGTAGCTGGGTTCCAATAAAACTTTACTTATGGATACGGACATTTGAATTTTATATCACTTTTACATGTCACGAAAGACTATTCTTTTCGAAAGGTGTGTGTCCGGGCATGAAAGGTCGAGCTGTCGTTTCTGTCTCCTTTCTCAGCAGGCGGCGGGCTCAGACTTGGCGAGGCGCTCTGGACATCACGCAGCGTTGCCCTGGGCTCTTGCCAGGGCAGGTGGACATATGGAGGCTACAGGGCCCCCGGGAAGCGGAGGCTGGTTGGGGGGAGCGGTCCGGCCCTTTGCAGAAGACTCGCAGGTCGGGTGCACATCAGCTGGGGGTTGGGGCCCATCAGGACTCTTGGAAGATTGTTTTCAAAATAATCTGCAGCAGGAGGAAAAGACACGGCCCTCGCACGGGAGAGGCTCGGGAGGCGCTCTCGGGAGAAACGTGATGAGGGAGAGGGCTGCTGGGGGAGCAGAGACTCGGCGCCGGTCCCCATCTCCGGTCGGAAATGTGCTAATGAGGCTCCCGCCTCAAGCCGACTTACCCCCGGGTGTGACCCACGGGCCAATAAAGGCTTTCTGTTTGTAAACCATTGAAAAGAAATCCAAAAACATTATTTCGGGATATGTAAAAATTATAAAATTTAACAGGGGGATCACTTTGTAAAGTATATTCTTGTCTAACCACTATGCTGTACACCAGAAACTAATATAAAGTAATATTGAATGCAACTCTAACTGGAAAATAAAATTTAAGCCCAGCTGGTGTGGCTCAGTGGTTGAGCGTTGACCTATGAACTAGGAGGACACGGTTCGATTCCGGTCGGGACACATGCCTGGGTTGTAGCCTCGATGCCCAGTAGGGGGCGTACAGAAGGCAGCCGATCCATAATTCTCTCTCAATCACTGATGTTTCTCTCTCCCTCTCCCTTCCTCTCAGAAATCAATTAAAAATTAAAAAAAAGAAGAAGAAGAAAGAAAATCAAGTGAAAGAGGCAAGTGTGGCACTCGA